GGTACTGATTACCCAGTACACAGGTGTAACTGTTAGATAGGTACTGATTACCCAGTACACAGGTGTAACTGTTAGATAGGTACTGATTACCCAGTACACAGGTGTAACTGGTAGATAGGTACTGATTATCCTGTACACATGTGTAACTGTTAGATAGGTCACAGTAATACTGATTACCCAGTACACAGGTGTAACTGTTAGATAGGTACTGATTACCCAGTACACAGGTGTAACTGTTAGATAGGTACTGATTACCCAGTACAGAGGTGTAACTGTTAGGTACTGATTATCCTGTACACAGGTGTAACTGTTAGGTACTGATTATCCTGTACACAGGTGTAACTGTTAGATAGGTACTGATTACCCAGTACACAGGTGTAACTGTTAGATAGGTACTGATTACCCAGTACACATGTGTAACTACAAAATATATTATATAGGCTAGGTTACAATAATGTCCAGTACCCAGTAACGTGTTCTGCCTCATACCAGAATTCGTTGTCCTGATAGACAATGTTCGGACAAATAGCCTTCCAAAACGCACGATCTGTAAGTGACGCATGATCTTCCTGTTACTTCGAGGGGCACAAGTGGGGAACTGGTTTAATTTACCTCTAAATGTATTTTTGTGTCAGCTCTCTCACGTTCTCAAAATCCACACGTATCTTGTGTCATAAATATCAGAGGCATGTACAAAAACACAGGATTTCAATGAGGGTGTAGTTTGCACAGAGTATTGTTTAAAAATAACACATGTGAAAATCACGGATATGGTTAGTCCAGCGTAATGTTTGATGTCGGAACAGAACACATTTAATGACATTTAATGACAGATTTATGGACGCAGGCTTTAAGCCTTTATATTCATATCTGAAATACAGTGATAAATATACATATTACATCAATGGCTTTTAAAAGTTAACGCATATCATAGTTATCAATAATCATAAATCATATCTTGAAAGTGTTCATCCAAAAGTTGTTCAAAGTGTCTGACTGAATTTGCATTAACAATATAAACGGGAAGATTATTCCAAGTGTCTACAACTCTAAAGGTAAAATAGTTTCTCCTAAGTTCCGTGTTACAACGACATACGCTTGTCACAGGCCATAGCATTGAAATACATATATTAAACATACACGTATACAAAAAATACACTTTTCCTATCAAGAGTATAAGTCTTTTTCAATGAGGAGAGTAATAAAAGTGTCTCAGTGTGTTGTAACTCTCGTAAAACTGATATGAGCGGTGCGATACAGGATCATATTTAACAATCCCTGCTTTAGGGATAAACAGCAGTGTGAGTTAGATTTTTTTTAATTCAGAGATGCAAAGGCGTATGATATCGCGAAAAAAACAACGTTTTTTATGTTCCTATAGGTGTGTTTGTTTATATATATACATACATATAATTGTTTCTATCATCCCAATTTTTACTCAGTTTCGAGTAAGGACGAGAACAAAACAGCACCGATACACATGATTATGCTGTATGTTCTCACCAGCTACTACATAAAGCGTCATCTCTCGTCGCGAGCACCTGTTTTGTTTACGGTAGCTTATTAATGCCTCGTTAATCATCCTGTTAACAAAGGGAGATAACAAGACAGAGACCCGAGCATGATGCGGAGGCTGAGAATGTACGATACGCGGTAAAAAGCTACGGATCACTGATACAAAAGATACCTGAGGACCACATTACTGAGGTGTAGCAATAGGGAGGGACGGTGTAAAGGGCTTTAGAAATACCAAAAGAGGGGACTGGTGTAGAAAGGATGTTGTCAAAAAATATTCTTATATGGGGAGATGTTGAGGAACTGCTGTTGTAATGGGGTTTAGGAGGTGCTGTAGTATGTGTGGGGTTGCGTGAGATGCCAGGGATATAGCCCGTGATTTCACAAACTAGTTAGGACAATGCTGTTTTATTTTAAAGAAAGTTTTAAGGTAAAGTTTTCTTTTAAGATTAATGTCACGTACTAGATTAATAAATAAGCTCTATTTTAGTTTGTGTCGTAACATTCGTATCATAAATCCTCAAGATGCCAACACTGAGTATGGGACTCAAATGTCCACCGGTAACACTCGGATGACATTTAACTTGCAAGCAAAATGAAAGCAAAACTAAACCTGAACAGCTACTACAATAGCAAGATCGCTTTCTGCTTGCTCTTGGTGGAAAAATTTGTTTTGAACGGAAAATAGGCCAATCGAATCAATCAACCGTGACATGTACCGAAATAACCAGGACGAACTTTATCCGAGAGGTCGATAGATCTACAGAGGCGTAAAGCAACATAAGGATCCGCGCGCATGTTAGGGAGCACGGAAAGTTTGGGTTCCCTGGCAGGTTTATTGCCGTGAAAGAAATTTAAGATCACTGAATAACTTCATTAAAGAATGGAACAATACAGAAGTGTGGCGCGTGCGTGACAGGAGTAAAACGTCATGACTGAACTATATTTATTGCGTGAACGGATAAATCCTAATTGTTGTCATTTCTCACATCAGGGCAGTTGTATTTATGTGTGAATGATTGCAGTGGAGACCAGGGGGCGTAGGGTAACATTCTTCCTAGTAGCAAAGTAACCGTGAAACTCGGCCATAATGGCTGTGGATCTGCAATTGGTGTTGGGCGATAAGAGATACCGTAGAAAGTTTGGTAAATTACATCGAAGAGAAATCGTTTCTGCACACGCATCCTCCTAAGTAATCTAGTGCATTGGCCCGTGCAGGCAAATAGACCTTAAAATGCTAGTGATGGGGCCCCAGATGGCCCGCCGACAGGATGTAGTTGCCAAAAGGGTTTCTCGTCTGCAAAATTAACATAGAGGGGCGATGGCTTTTCCAGATTCCACAGGAACATTTTATCTATATTTCAATTGCATTTAAGATGTACAGTATTGGGATGGGAATGTCGAGGGCAAAAAAATCTTCATTGAAGAAGTTTCGTGTTATCTGGAGTTGTAATCACCTAGTGCTGTTGTATGCGAAGTTCATTAGGGTAAATGTGGATCGTAAACTGGCTTCGACACAGCCTTCATTAAAATGCCCTTATTACAAAAACGCAGATCCTTCAGAGAGCGTGTCACTTATTTCATTTCATTCGTCTACTATTTCTACGCACAGAAGATATAATTTTGCCATTATTTAATTGCCGTTCGTAATTTGGTCGCACCATCTGGCCAGGAGACTCGTAATCATTATAGCCGAGATAATTTAGACAACGCCCGCTCTGATAAACAGGGTACAGACCGTAGATCGGACTGTCATTATCAGAACGGTCGGCTTTACAAAACAAGGCAGCTGTCCCGTAAAGCACCATTCACGGTAAATGTTGATCGGCAAGTGGAGACTTCATTTTAAAATCCTTTCGTTTAATAGTTTTGCCTCGTCCAGGTTTTCCGAGTACCATGGGCCAAAAACACAGCTAAATATCCGAACAGTTGATGGTTAATATTTCTGTCGATGACACTAACATGAACCTTATTACGACAACATTACCTGATTCTATGGGCATACTTTAAATTAAATCTAATTGAAACTTGACTAGCAATGTCCTCTCTTGTATATGCTTTGTTTTGTCGTATTGCGGAGCAGCGAATATCACAAGCTAAAGCTATAAAGTATAAATAAATAAGAATACAAAATGACAATCAGAAAAAAACACACAAGTCTGGCATAGAGAGATTATTCCAAATCATACCATGATAAAGAAACGAATCTCTTTGTTTCAGTGATGTCATTAAATTAAAGGGAAAAAATGGATCGGGGACAACCCACTATGTTCCTTCCTGCCATCATCAAAATTTGAGAACATTTACCGCATTGATGAAAAAAGGATTTCGCCATTCTTTTTTGTGTCGACGTACCCCAAGATCGATGACGTAACTAAGTAGGGGGTACGGGACAAGAGGGATGAGTAACTCTGTGATGACACATTTTTTCTACAATGGAAGATTTAATTATTGTCACCAAGACGTCGATTAATTTGGATTAGTATAAAAGGATTACGAGAGCAGCTAATGCCGTTCTTTGTCTCCGGTGAAATGTGGCGTCGTTATTAGTCGTCTGGTGAAGAAATAGGCTTTAGATTAGATATTTCAATTTCTGACGTGTTTAAATTTCAGCAATTTAAGAAATTAAGAAAATTAAAAAGAAAATGTTGAACTCAGCAAAATTTGTCTAGGAATAAGTGACTGGTGTAAGTCAATATTATTTGACAGAAGTGGACGTGTAACATATTTATCCTTTATTCTTCGTTGCCTAGAGATATCTACATTTGTCCGAACACTCAATTGTCGGGACCGTCAGGTAACTCACAACTCCGTTGTCCTTACTGGTCCGGACACATACTATTTCAGGACTCGACATCACACTTACTAGTTCGGATACCCTCTACTCCGTTACTTTCACTCTCTGGGCACTTACTGTTACATGACAATTATTACTCCGGATACCCTCTATTCTGTTATACTCACAGGTCTGGACAATATCTATTCCATGCCACTTTTTAGTTCGGATACCCTCTACTCCGTTGCACTCACTGGTCCGGACAATTTCCATTCCATGACACTTACTAGTTCGGATACCCTCTACTCCGTTACTTTCACTCTCTGGGCACTTACTGTTACATGACACTTATTAGTTTGGATACCCTCTATTCCGTTGCACTCACTGGTCCGGACAATTTCCATTCCATGACACTTACTAGTTCGGATACCCTCTACTCCGTTACACTCACTAGTCCGACATTCATTTATCCGCGATACTTTTTGGCACAAGTCACAACACCGTGACACTCCTGATACACCCCTTGATACTGTTTTACACCATTTTGATTATTTTATTATACAGAACAGTTTATCCGAAAATATGTTTGCTCCAGAGATATAATGAAAATGATTGATAATATTATATCACATTTAAAAACTCTATCACATCTCTAGAGTTTCCATTTAATCTACCTATATGTACGTTGGTCAGTATGTGGTGTACTTACCTGGACGGTCTGCGGTTGTTGTTTTCCATGAAGGTGTAGGAGTACGTAGTTACGATCGCAGGGTCCACTCCATTGGTCAAGGATTTCTTCTGTCGGGGCTGTACAGCCATAGTCGGTTTCTTTTTCTGGTGCGGAAGCAACGCCGCTGTACAATTTAGCGACATTTTCTTCTTGTTTAACGTAGTTCTCCCTTAAAAGTTAACGTTAGTCGTCCACACTACCGCTGATTTCGTTTAGACTCTTAATGTAAATGTGTAGTCTCCATCACTATCGCTAGATCAGCTGCAGCAGTATCGACAGACGTCACATGACTAACTCTAGGTTTCCTTGGTAAAGGCCATATATCCACAGTAGACAAATAGCCACATTAACAACTCAACCTGAACTTTTAACATGTAAATTATATTTCTGACATTATACACAGAGTCAAACAATGACTTCTCAAAGCGGATCGGCCTCTCCAACGACAACACTAACTCGTTTGAATAGCGCGCTCCTTCCTGGCTACAGCTGCTGGACTGACAACATTCAGGACTGTTCAATAACTCCTTACCAGACAGGGTTCCGTGACCTCAACGACACAAGTATTAAAACTTTACACAAAAACGAAATAAAGCTCCAGGCACTTTACTTGGCTTTCCGATGGCGTGCTCCCCACTTCAGCCATAAATAAAGGCCAACACCAGTAGCAAGCACTGCTTTAACTATCAGCAGTTGTTTATTAGGCTTTTCAAAGACAAAATATTGGTGATAAGTGGTAGGGAAAACTGCTCACTAATTAGTGAATGAGTCACATGATGTGAACGCGCACTGGACGTGAAATGTCTTGCCCTATCAGCTGAGTTTCTGCCCCAGTTCCTTTGTTTGTTTACGAAGACACGTGGTCTCGAGACCAACTCCTCTAAGTATACATAGCCATGGCATTGCCATTTTCTCGATAGTTCAAGAAGTCATTTACTCACCGGCACTGAACTAACACCCGTTACGATAACAAGCAGGAACGATCACAGGGTATGGGGAGGACGGGTGTCAACACGGATATCTCGGTCTAATCCGGAAAGTAACGCGCACCGACTAAGCGAGGGGGATCACAACGAAACATATGGAGGAGTGCAATACGATACCCCATCATACAGATACGCCCCTCCTTCTGTCTACACGACTACCGAGTCTGATAACATCAATGTTCACCATTTAAATTGTTATCGTTTACAATGCCACAAAATGTGTTGTTTTTTTATTTTCTGTTATAAAAAAAAAACTTTCATTTGTTTAATGACAAATTTTATACTTATAGTATATTTATACTTGTATATATCTAGCTTTCCCACTACAACCAAATGGTATATCTTTTACTCATACTTTGCGAAAGTTGCTTGTTTGCAGAGGAAATAAAGCTTTCGAACCATTGGGACCAAAACAGTGGACTTTTTTTATGTAATGAAATAAACACAGCTTCTAGCCTTTAGTTCGGCTGTCTGTCTATCAGCGAATATTGGGGGTTTATTCCAATACATTAGTTCACGGAACTGGTTTTCCTGTCGCTGTCAATCTTGAGACAACGGCCATTATCTTGATACCAGAGAGATGCAATTCTCCCCTTCCCTGTCCTAATTACAGCGCAGAGAGATCTCCGTCCGTCCTAATTACCACATGAAAGGATCATCCTCGTCCTAATTACTGCACGGGAATATCTTTCTATTCATTCTAATTACTGCGGGGAAAAGGAATCCTTCCTCGCCTTAATTACAGCAAGGAAAGGTCCTCCTCACCGTCCTCATTACTACACCGAAAGATCATCGTCCATCATAATAACTGCATTACCCTCTTCATCCTAATTACTGATTCGAAATAGTCCTCCTCAGTCCTTATTTACTTCACCGAAATTCCTCTCTTCTCGTCCTAAATACTGCACGAAAATAGCCCCCTCCCCCGTCCTAATTACCGCACAGAAGGATACCACCATACCCCCTTTATCCAAATCACTCCACCGAAATATCCCTAACTGGTCCTAATTACTGCACGAAAATACTCCTTTCCAGTCCTAATCACTATATCAAAATATCTTCCAGTCCTAATCTATCTTCAAGTATTCACAGCTCACTTGAACACTGGGTACATTAATCTAGTCTAATTTGTACCGTGACCAGTACCGGGTACCAGAATCTACGTCTAATTTGTACCGTGACCAGTATCGGGTACAATGATCTACGTCTAATCTGTACCGTGACCATTATCAGGTACAGTGATCTATGTCTAATTTGTAACGTGACCAGTCGGGTACAGCGATCTACGTCTACTTTGTACCGTGACCAGTATCGGGTACAATGATCTATATCTAATTTGTACCGTGACCAGTATCAGGTACAATGATCTACGTCTAATTTGTACCGTGACCAGTATCAGGTACAATGATCTACGTCTAATTTGTAACGTGACCAGTCGAGTACAGTGATCTATGTCTAATTTGTACCGTGACCAGTATCAGGTACAATGATCTACGTCTGATTTGTACCGTGACCAGTATCGGGTACAATGATCTATGTCTAATTTGTAACGTGACCAGTCGGGTACAGTAATCTGCGTCTAATTTGTACCGTGACCAGTATCGGGTACAGTGATCTACGTCTACTTTGTACCGTGCCCAGTATCGGGTACAATGATCTATGTCTAATTTGTACCGTGACCAGTCGGGTACAATGATCTATGTCTAATTTGTACCGTGACCAGTATCGGGTACAATGATCTATATCTAATTTGTACCGTGACCAGTATCGGGTACAATGATCTATATCTAATTTGTACCGTGACCAGTATCGGGTACAATAATCTATGTCAGATTTCTACACTCGTATACTCCTAGTGGGGAATATATACATGTATATATACCCGTCCTCATTACTGTGTTAACAGTATACCATAACTCAGTCCACTGGCCATAATAGTGGGCGTAAAAATCTGTAAAAAATCCTAGATTTTGTCGCATATTCGCTGGCTGGAGCGCCGTCAGCGCGACATAGTTAAATGGGTGAAACTTTGAAATCCAGCATTCTCAACGCCCGTCCTCATTACAGCGACTATCTTTACAAGTAACTTCTATGAACTTTTATTTTAATCGCTTGTTTCCCTACACTCTGACTATTTGTCTGTCCAGCATCGCTGTATTTTCATACCTTTAAGTAATGACGTCATCGATAACTTTGTTGTAGTTACGTCAATTTCCGTGACGTCACTTCAGCCGCCATTTTAATCAGTCTAGTATTCCATGAAAATAGCGTTTACTCATTATGCAAAGTAACACGTTACGAAAGTGCAAAGAACGCCAACGGAATTATTCACATAGTAATCTTGAATTTGACTACGATGATGACGATGATCGGTATGTTGACGAAGAAAGCCTGCTTCCTCGATCTAAAAACAAAACTCTGCAACGTAGATATGACAGAGATGGCAGACGTTGTAACTGTTGTCGAAGTGTGGCAGAAAAGATTAAGTTTTATATCACTGACTTTTTTAGAGCTCCTCCTGAAAAATACAACGCAGCTAAAACTGTGTTAGGATTTCCGTTTGGTGCTGCATTAGGTATTATACTATACCATCTTGTTCTTGACTTCACATGGCTGAAAGAGAGTACCCGCCATTTTCTTGGCGGTGTTTTCGTTCTGGGATTGGCAAGTGGGTATGCACTTTCGGTTCAAGTGAGATGCATCACTTGTCTTTTGCTCCCTACATTCTTCGGAAAAACGGGCAGGTCATACATTTCAACGTTTGCCGTTATATATTTGATAACGGGACCTATCCATACCATCATCTTAAATGGCCACGAAGTAGCAAGGTCACTCGGATGCACAACCGAATTACTCGCAAACCACACGAAGGCACGTTGGGACTTGACCATGAAACCAATAGGAAGAGTTATGGAAGAATTTCAGACTGAAGGGATGCTAATCAACAAAGTTGTGAAGAGAGTCGACGACGCATTTGGGCCGATGAAGAAAGAGGTGGATGATAATTCGGAAGAAGAAAAAATGAAAAGGAACACCGCATTCGTTGATCAAGTTTCTGGTAAATCACGAGGAAATAGGGTGAAGGATGTTGAACAAAAAAACAAACGCGATGATTCCGAGAAATATAAGCGGGCTGAGTCGGATTACAGGAAGAAGTTAGTATACCGTTGTCAAGATGTATGGAACAAAGGCGTGATGACGTGTCGAAAAAACTTTCGTAATATGGAAAGACGCTGTCTCAACAAAATCCCAATAGTAGGCGGTCTATTGTGTCTGCCATTCAAACTCACCATATTCTGTGAACTTGTGAGGCTGGTTCCAGGAGCACTCGGAAGTGACTGTAATTCCAAAGAAGCGGTAAGTCCTGGCTTTGGTGAGGTATACGTAGCTGCAAAGGACATGTCTGCTAGCATGGATAACGATTTTAAAGCCAATTTGCAGTACAAAGTGGCCAGCACCCCTGAAGCTTTGGACGTCACCACAGCGGAGGAGGTCGGCAAAGGCACACTTCACAAATTTGAGAAAAAACAGATTTGGTTGGAATTTGGTTTGTCATTGCTGCAGCGCCTGATGGCCTTCACCTTCATACTGGTGTTCATCAGTGCATATAAGTACAACAAGGCCTACTTGACGGACATCCGACATGATAACATCTACATCACGTCCTACTTTCGTCACATTGACGATCGACGACAGAAGCTTTGCAAAACAATCTTGCTTCCGTTAAAGAAGGTAGAAAGTGACGTCTGTATATTTTTGACAAGTCCAAAACTTACGAAAGCTGAAAGAAAAAAGATCGTAAAAGGTACAATCATGCTTATTATACGGGGTTTGATCTCGGCAGTGATCATCATGTCGAGTGATCTTTTATACAATGTTCTCGACATCATTAGACGTCACAGTCGCATTGAATACCGCCAACAGGGCGAACACATCATCGACATTGACATCAACGGCAAAGGTTTTATGTCCGAGATCGTCAGACTTTTCCTCAATGCTTTCAACCATAAAAGTAAAATTGACAATATTTCAACCAATTTCGCATGTTTACCTCAACCGGTGAAAATGGAACAAAAATATGTATGGCTGATTTTTGGCACATACTGTATCATCTGGTGTCTTTTTGTCTTTGAAGCATATGGTCTACGTCTTCGGCGACTAGTGGCTTCTACATTTTACCGCAGCAGGGAGAAAAAACGGATCCTTTATCTATATAACGACATGTTGAAGAAACGACGGGGCTTTCTGCGGCACATGCGCCACCATATTCGTAGGCAAGTTAAGAAGAAACGCCTTCTAGTTAAATCAAGCCTCACCAGTAGTTTACGACTGGAATTTCCACAGCTGTGTGGGTGGTTGAAAATCTTCGATTCCTCAAAAATGTCATGCTTGATTTGTGAAGACCCAGAAAAAAGGGATTTCGTGCGGTGTCTAACACCTGGCTGTAACGTGGGCTACTGTTCTGCGTGTTGGTGCGACATCAGAAAGCGCTGTTACTCGTGTGATCCAGGCAGTGCAGACGATTTAAGTGACCTGTCTGATGACGGACTTTCCACTGACTCTGACAGCGAATAGCAATTGTTCCCTACAAAAGATTACATGAAAAAAGGATGTACTCTTTACCTCAAGTTTAACGTTACTATGTCAAATTATGTCTGGTGTTATGACAGTTGTATCAGTCTGGAGAGTATCTAACATTATATATGTGAACACTGTATAGATTTTGTAATAAATAATAAGAGACAGGTGATCGTTTCCCGTTTAGCTAAGTTTTCGATAACAAATGTTGGAACTTATACGGGAAAGAGTTAGCGAACTGGTAGGCCAACATTGCCAACGAGACAAAATTAGGTCTCCGACCCGTCACGTCGAAAACATCAATGATAAAAAAATGTAACAGGCATGAATGTTTTTGATGTTTTCATACAATGCAGACACGCCCAAAACATCCAGCGAATGCATACTTCAGTCAAAGCCGGTGTTTGTTTGGCAATGAGCTTGTCTTTCCCCCATTTAATCTGTACTTGGCAAAATTCATAATAGGTTGATTTTTTTTATTCTCTGAAACATTTATATACTCCTTTAAAAATTACACATCGTCGGCACACAAGGTATCTGGCTATGTTTGTTTTGATGCTTCACCAAGACTATACGATAGCTCATTAGGACCAATTAACCTGACGTGTTTTCATTTAGGTAGACTCTGCTTTTACATCTTGATGCTTTTAAGTCTAATTTGCTATAGTAAGTAAACCTACACCGACCTAAATCTCTCGTGTCATGATGACCGGTAACTTGGTGTAGTCTTGACAGACCTAAATCCCTCACCATTCCTTGAACCGAACTAAATCCCCCGCCATTTCCTCGAACTAATGTTCTAACCTACATGTAAATCGTGGTCGGAGGGGTGACCCTCCTCTGTCCTTTCGTGTTCCCACGGGAAGTCGAACCACGGACACCTAGCTGAACGGCGAGTGTGTTATCACTGCACCACCGACCACCCAAGCCTCTCTGGTGTTTTGAAACCTGTAGTGTAATTGAACCTGACAGAACAGTCTTACTTACATCCGGTAGTGAAATGATTGAAATATTTTCAACCACTTTATCAAATGTATGTACTATCCAAAGGAGATGTTGTACAGAACGACATTTTTCGTCCAATGTAGCTGAGTATGTGTGAAAGAAACCGAGAGGGAGTTCACAGAAACAACAGACTCGTTATGTTCTGCAACAGAAAATTATTTTATTACCTTAAAATACAATAACATAATGTATTATAACCTTATCTATTAAAGATATATGTATTTAAAAATAATGATGGACCCACTGAAATACAATAACTTTAATTGTATGTTGTCAATCCTGTTTATCTGCACTTTAATGCAAAATTTCAGGTGAATACAGGCCTCGAAAAGAAGATTCGTAGGTCCGTCTTGATTTCATTAACAAACCATTGTGGTAAATCGATAAACGGAAAAATGGTCCTATACGATAATTAATGTAACATCAACTTGGATACCTCTGGTTGTATACATGTTATAAACATTTATTAATTAGCTGATAAAACTTACTACAAACTTGGTCCCACATCGTACTTGTATAAAACAATACAAAGTGGCCAGCGTATGACCAATGTCATGTACAAAATACTGACAAATATACATCTTCTGTTAAAAATAACAGCTTCTTTCTGATTAAAAAAAATGAAGATGAGAACATGATCTCGCACTTTTCAGTGACTGAAACCATTAAAAATGATACCCTCCCGAGTCATGTAATCATTGGATCTGAAGACAAAAGACACCAATACCTGATACAATGGATAACCCTTAATACCAATGGAAGACTTCTTAGGTCTATGGATAGGAACATGGGCAACAATACTGTGTTATATGCACAATTATATTCGGCACTCAGCGTTAAGGACAAAACATAGACACCAATACCGTTACGACGATTGAAACAAATACTTTATACCAGGAAATGGAAAACAATTATTGACTCCATGTAAAGTACAATTGAAACTGGTGATTGATTCCACGTCAAGGACGATGGAAACTGACGATTGATTCCACGTCAAGTACAATTGAAACTGGTGAAACAAGGACGATACTTTATACCAGTAAAGTACAATTGAAAACAATTCCATTGGACAATGGGAAATGGGAAACTGGTGATTGATTCCACGTCAAGTACAATTGAAACTGGTGATTGATTCCACGTCAAGGACGATGGAAACTGACGATTGATTCCACGTCAAGGACAATGGGAACTGACGATTGATTCCATGTAAAGTACAATGGAAACTGATGATTGATTCCACGTCAAGGACAATGGGAACTGGTGACTGATTCCACGTCAAGGATGATGGAAACTGACGATTGATTCCACGTCAAGGACAATGGGAACTGGAGATTGATTCCACGTCAAGGACAATGGGAACTGGAGATTGATTCCACGTCAAGGACAATGGGAACTGACGATTGATTCCATGTAAAGTACAATGGAAACTGATGATTGATTCCACGTCAAGGACAATGGGAACTGGTGACTGATTCCACGTCAAGGATGATGGAAACTGACGATTGATTCCACGTCAAGGACAATGGGAACTGGTGATTGATTCCACGTCAAGGACAATGGAAACTGACGATTGATTCCACGTCAAGGACAATGGGAACTGGTGACTGATTCCACGTCAAGGACAATGGAAACTGACGATTGATTCCACGTCAAGGACAATGGGAACTGGTGATTGATTCCACGTCAAGGACAATGGAAACTGACGATTGATTCCACGTCAAGGACAATGGGAACTGGTGACTGATTCCACGTCAAGGACGATGGAAACCGACGATTGATTCCACGTCAAGGACAATGGGAACTGGTGACTGATTCCACGTCAAGGACGATGGAAACTGACGATTGATTCCACGTCAAGGACAACGGGAATTGGTGGTTGATTCCACGTCAAGGACAATGGAAACCAGTCATGGATTTCAAAGAAAAGAACAATTATTGATTCCAGGTAAAGTACAATAGTACCAACTATTGAGCCTAAGGAAAGGGAAACAGAAACATGCCGAGTTCTCAGGGCAACACAAAGGACATCAAATATAAGTGTAACCATATCTTCATACATTTTGTACATTGTCCTTTATATAGAAAGAGGGATATCTGAATACATCATTAGGGGTCACAGCAAGACTTTTACAAATAAACAATACATACCCATAAATCATAGTACAGTTTTAAAATCACATGAAGATCCTGGTAATAAAAAGTACATGGAACATCAAAATCCCTGACATTCATTTAAGGCACACTAGCTGTTCTAACAAATGACAAATGAAGATATCCCAAAGTTATACTAGATACAAAGATGATTCAATATTGCCATGGAAACTGTAATGAGCGATTCCCAGAAATTGTTAAAAAATGAATGTAAAAAAAAAAAAATAACTAAAATGATGAGTTGCCCCTTTAGCTGGGAATGATTAAACTTGCAGCAGTTTTCACACATGAACACATTATGGTATGATCCTGTGAATGACTAAAGGGGAGTAACTCTGTAAAATGGATGTGGTACATAGAGTTACAGATTTACTTTAAATTAGAGAAATCAACATGATGGTCACCCCTTGAATTTCTACCACTTACTTCCATCTAGCATTTAAGAATATTGTATATAACATATTAAAAATAGCTTCATTCTATTTGTCTTTCAGTTGAATGAGTATATTTATATATATATTGATATACTTTGAGTATAATGTATCAAAATTTGACAATACAATAATATGAGATCAGCTACTTTAAAGGCTTATTGACTGTAATAACTGGATGGTGCTTTGGATCAGTAGTACATCTTGCCTTGGTCCTTTTTTGTGTTAAAGTTGGGCCATCCTGAGTTTCTCTTTATATTCATGTTCCCTTTCGCCACTGGAGGTGGTGAGCTGGAATAAAACATAGCATACGTTAGCATGTGTAAGTATGTGCTAACAGGCAACTCCTAACTTTTAGTATACAGGTGTCATATGGTAGACAATTATCTTTGTGCCATAGGGTAGACAAGGTTTCCAGTATGTGTCATATGATAGACAAAATCTATTTTATGTGTAAACAATCTCTATTATGTAATAGGGTAGACAAAATCTCAAGAGTGTGTCATAGAGTAGACAAAGTCTCTATTATGAGTCATAGCGGAGATAAAATCTCTAGTATGTGTCATATGGTAGACAATGTCTGGAATAAGTGTCATGTGTCCTAGGGTAGACAAAATCTCTAGTATACGTCATAGGGTAGACAAAATTTCTGGTATATGTCATAGGGTAGACAATGTCTGGAATAAGTGTCATGTGTCCTAGGGTAGACAAAATCTCTAGTATACGTCATAGGGTAGACAAAATTTCTGGTATATGTCATAAGGTAGACAATGTCTGGAATAACAGCCATGTGGTAGACAAAATCTCTATCATAATAGTGTCATAGGGTAAGCAAAATTTCTAGTATGTGTAATAGGGAAGACAAAATCACTGGTATAAATTTTAGGGTTGACAAGGTCTCTAGTATGTTAGAGGGTAGACAAATCTGTAATATGTGTCATACAATAGATAAAATCTCTAGTGTCACAGTGAAGACAAAATATCTAGTTTGATATAGGGTAGACAAGGTATCTAGTATATGTCATAGCTTAAAATGTCTCTGGTACCTGTCATGTGTCAAAAGGTTGACAAAATCTGGTATGTGTCATAGGGTAGACAAATCTCTAGTATGTGTCATAGGGCAGACAAAATCTGTGGTATGTGTCCTAGGGTAGACAAAATCTGGTATTTGTTCCAAGATAGACAAAATCTAGTATGTGGTACAAAACACAAGGTCTCTAGTATGTCATATAGTAGGCAAGGTCTCTGTTATGAGTCCTATGACAGAAATGCCACTAGTTTATGGTCATTGACATTTTGTATATTTATCATTCTGCTCATACAAAGGTTTGATAATGAACTAGTTGAGCCATTAGTTCAATGTTCCCATTATGGTTACAGAACTTCATGGTATCATATACATACACAAAATTATCTGCAATAGTATCTAATTTACAATGTGATCAAGAGAATTTTACATTCATTTCCGTTTCATGGGAGATACCAACATGAAATTTGTCACAATTCTTTTCTTTTTTTCAAGACTTGTTTAATCTCATATGAATGGAAATTGGTGTAAATTCTTTATACCAAAAGTTCTATGTGCCATACATGATGTCTATCATTATGTGTCAAACAGGCTGATGGGATTCAAGTATCCGACATGTGGTTTGTTGTTTTATATGGTATATGATCAACAAACCTTCTAAATACCACTGCAACTGTTAAAATTACATAGATCTTTTAAACACTTTGCTTTGTGGGTCAAGGTATTTCATAAAAAATAATTTTGGAACAGTACATATAGTGCTGTTTTGAATACCACAAGGTTTTGTGGAGTCTTCAACACATTGTACTTTCATGACATTGAATAAGCTTTAAATCTATCTTTTTTTACAATATTCCAATCCTTTACCAAACATTACATGAGGACTTGACCCATTTGACCTTCATCATATGTCAAGGTTATTTGTTTGTACAAACTCAATAGCTTTCACCATGACAAGCTAGATTCCTTATCACTACTTTTGACCTTGTAGTTTATCAGAAGTCATTCAAAATGTACATGTAATTCATTTTAACAGGTCAAGCACTTCACCACAGCATGCTGAAGGTACTCCAACTGAAGCTTTAACATGCTTTTAACACAAAGACAAGTAAGTTGAAATAAATATAATAAGAAATGTAATCCTACCCTAAACACCAGTAAGAATTCCAGGGAGTTGTGTTCAAGCTAAACACACACATCACAAAAAACTGGGACAGAAAGAATGGAAAGAAGAATATTAGAACCAGAAGTGTTGGAGATTCCTGTCCTAAGAAAGGCAAGCATAAATTGTTATTTAATTAGATACAATACACACAAGAAGGTGCTGAGTATGTATACAGGGTTGATTCACTGATACCAAAACAATGGTCCCTTGATATGACTTTTGTGTATTTATAAATAACAAACAAGCAAAGCTAGTTATTACATATTTAATGACAGATAAATTGAAATCAACATCATACATGTACAAATGAGTTATTTCCTATGATATCCTCTCAAATACCCTATCATGAAACATTTCCTTCAGGTCGGTTAGTAAAAATATATTTGTGAACACATTTCCTGTATCACATCTAGTGAGAAAATTAGCTGTGACATTTCAGTAACTGCACTCTGGCACCTTCATCAGATAAATTACAAATCTGGCAATCAAATTGACATGTCCTTTTTATCTACAACATAATCACATGTACATTTATTTGTTTATGAGGTGTAAATGGTCATTTAGTCACCATTCAAAAAAAGGTTTAATTTCAAGTGTATATTAAGTGTTTATTACGTAGAAAATATATCAGTTAAGTTCAAGATTGATTAAAATTTAGTATACTTCTACAAATACACTTTTCTGGTTATTTGTCTGATGAGGATGACAAAATGTACACATCAAATCATTCATAGGTGCATATGTACTTTTGTGCCAGGAAAGTTGATACTTTGTAAATCTGATGATTACAATGGTATAAAGTAGGTGAAAATGATACTTGTATACCTTTAGTAAGATGTACTGTAAATCACCAAGATTTCATGAATACTTTATTTAGCGTACTTAACTCTTCAGACAAATTCGCAAAAAAATTATTTTGAAAACACTTCTAGAAATGACGTCAAATTCATTAATAATGAGCTCATAGAATCCTACATTCTTCATGGCTCCAATATAGGTAACCAAATCAACATGGATGCCATCCAGATTTATTTACGTTCAAATCATAGTGAGGGATTTGAATTTACTATCGACTCTCCTCACATATTAATGTCAAAATAAATTCCACATGAAAAATAAGTGATTTACAGTAAGTAGGAATGTATATACTATACACAGTGGTCAGGTCAAATAGTCAGGAGTACTGTCAGTTGTCATCTATGGCAGTTAAGGGGGGTTAATACAGCACAATGTTCATGGAGATCTTCACAAATTGTGAAGTCCAAACAATGCCTTAATACTCTGAACAATTCTGATAAAAAGAGACAGCCATCTTTGTAAATAGTAGAATTAGTTTATTGTTTACTGAATCTATGATGTAGATTATGATTGTGTTGGTTGCAGTGCTCCTACACATAAATGGTCTGTTTTGTTGTGTCATAAATATGTTCAGACACCTGTAATAACACTATGAATATTGTCCAGTGAAAACTGCATTATCCATGTCAAAATAAGTTCATTTATAAAGAAATTAATTAGAGAGTACTTGTCCTATTTTTCAGAAATACAGGTTACACGATAAATGAAGTTTTACACTTGTGCCAAAGTAATATGTTTTTTGAACTCATGAAATAGATAATTTGATAAGTCAAAGGATTTTCCAATATTTTTCTGAAATACTGGCTATATGATAAATAGAATCTTACACTAGTTCCAATGTAATATGAAATTTTTGAACTCATCAATTAAATAATTTGATGTCACTTAATCAATAAATTCATCAAAGGCTCCTGACACATCAAATGATTGACCTTTTTGAATAAATTCCCTATTATCATGTAAGATATATTCTAATTCAGGGGAACATTCAGCTACATCTCACTTCAGTTCTTGCATTCCAATCATTGTTGCTGCATTCAGTCAATAGACCTCAATCAAAATGGCTTTTTCAAAAGTAAATTAGTTTTTTTAAAGAGTTCTCAGGAGTTTTTTTCCCCATTCATTGAATGATTATATTCAAAACATTTTATCAATATGAAAGAGTTTTCATCATCATCATCATTAAATACTACAGTAATCCCGTCAGATGAGAAATGGAGTGGGTCCCAATGGAGGTTTTGACAAAGTCAGTTGTAAGTTACCATCCAAACATGATGAAAATGAATTATCTGCTACAATATACAATTGAGATTTGTTCGTCTTAAAAGCAGCACGCAAGCATTAACACTGATGCAAAGATTATAAAGCTGGTGAACTTTGTGTGCATAACATGTAAATTCTTCTAAAGTACAGATCTACAAGGCAAAGCATCTCTATTACCACATAATAACATTCCTCCTGCAAACCATTTTTGAGAAAACATGCAAGCAAAGTAAACGCACAAATTTCAGCTCTAAAGAACATATTCAAACAGCAGCCATGTTGTTAAAAAAAATAGCCTTTACAAAACAGTTACAGGAAGCGGTTGATTTAGTAAATGAGAATTTTCTGTGCAGATCTCATGCTTACATGTGATAAAACAGTAGCCATCGCTCTAGCATCAGTGAACCAACCCAGTGTACAACCACTCAAAGCTGCCCAACAAAGGCCAGGCCGATATTACTCCAAGTTCTGAGTCAATTTTATACATTATTAGACCTGTAAAGGTGATAGCTGTTAACATGTAGGAAACCAAGCTTACGTAAAGATATTTTAAAAATAGGAAAAGATGCCATACACAAATTGATAGTATACAGAACAATTCAAAAGAGAGTTAGTGGAGAAAAGAAAAATTTGAATAAAGACCTAATTTCACACGACACTACTTAAATAAAACATTTTAGAAGTTTTCAGTGTAAAATGTCATGTTGGGCATGTATTCTATACTGAAATATTATCAGTACCTGAACACACAATCTTAAGATTTCACACAGTTGTACATATAATGTCTGTATAGGGTATAATGCTGTAGGACTTCCATCACTGTAACAGGAGAAATAAATACTTTTCATTTAAACCCATCTGGGATGTAATACACCCTCCCCATCACTGAACAGAGACAAAACTTTATTTGTTCCATCTGTGTTAACAACCTCACAATTTTATTGAATAGTCAACTGTTGAGACAATCTGACCTTATTTCCGGTAATGACAAAACTGTAAACAGACTAGGTAATTATGTCTATTTCATTTGGTTCTATTAAAGTGACCATTCCAGATAACCATTAACCACCAATGGTCAGTGCCAGGCCACTTGGTCTCGGGAGGCAACTGGTGTGACCTTGAAGTACCTGACACTACCGCTGACCCCCATGTCTGTCTGAGCATTACTGTTGAAGCTAGGTTGCTGAGAAAGTGCAGCAAGCCCAGGCAAGCGGTCCATATCCTGCTGGTGTGTGCCATCCCCCTTCAGCACTGCCATACACCGCCAGCTGTCCAGGTAGTTTGCTGGCAAGAAAAATTCATTTATACAATTTTTGTCAAAAACAAATTTCAACCATCCACAAAAAGGGATCTAAGAGGGATCTTAGTGTCCGTCATTGTTAAATGTTTAAAAGAGAGGGATTTTAGTGTCCACCATTGTTTAATGTATAAAAGAGAGGGATTTTAGTGTCCACCATTGTTTAATGTTTAAAAGAGAGGGATTTTAGTGTCCACCATTGTTTAATGTATAAAAGAGAGGGATTTTAGTGTCCACCATTGTTTAATGTTTAAAAGAGAGGGATTTTAGTGTCCACCATTGTTTAATGTTTAAAAGCTGAATCTTTTCCTTTTTTCTATTCTTTCCTGTTTCTGCTATTGCTTACACAAAATTTAAATCTGAAGAATTGTGAAACCAATCTTTCATAGCCAAAATTCAAGATAACAATTTGTCAGGTATTTTGTTTTCCTAACCAGTATCACAATCAAATATGGGCACAACTAGGGACCAAGGAAAACCTACATATGAAATGAAATTTCACAGTAAAAACCTAAGATGCCTTTTGGCCATTTTGTTCTTTATCATCAGTCCCAAAATCAAACAGGCAGATAAAATAGAAAATCTATGATTTTATAAATCTCATATGCAGCAGAAACAAACAATAGATTCTGTTTACCCCATAATTTGAATTTTAATGGAGACATCTGTTAAAAAATCATTTTATAAGACTGATACAAAATCTCAATTGCTAATATTTTCACTCTACATCACTTTTTTGTGGCATCACATTGCATTTGATAACATGAAGTTATGATATCATAATTGGCCAATCACAGCTCCACTAGGTTAAATTACGTTTAACTAATTGACCTGTATCACTCACTTGGAATTTAATGTTCATCAAAAATATGAATCAATGTCCGTGACAAATGCATTAACACATGCATCATTGGCATTCAAAGTAGGCAAATCCAATCAATTTCATCCAATTTCCACAACATAAACTTCTGACACTTGGTTCTAAAGAGTTGCAATTACAACCTCTATTAAAAGTCATTTCTTTTTTTCTTTTGTATCAAAATTTGTCAGGCATTGACTTAGAAACTCTTTTCCACCAGATATGCTACTTCTCAAGACTTTTGGTTTACTAGAGGAAGTCTTTAACCCCAATGACCTTAAATATGATTCAAGGTAATTTTGTTTTGCATTTCTTTTGTCCGAAAGACCAACCTGAAAAAATATCATGCTTCTAGAACTTTGGGTTAATCAGAAGATCATATATATCTAAGTCATTTCTTTTCACAAACGGCAGTCTTCATACAAGAGACTCGGAACTACTACTTATTGAAAAAAAGTCATTCAAATGGAAAATGTGATGATGGACGGACAGACAGATGACGGACACTGTATCATGGCATAAGCTCACTTGACCCTTCGAGCCAGGTGAGCTAATAATAAATATAATAAGGTAGTGAGTGTTATTACACTGATAACTGAAGAGTTACGTGACAAAATGCTATCCAGAGGTGTCAAATCTTTTAACAGCTTGTACATGGTAGATAAGTTTAAAATTTGCCAGGAATGGTTTTCACTACAAGTCTACAGTAAGATTTCTAGGTTACGGCCCTATCACATTCTCTACCTTTCCAGAGTCGGACACAGCCATCATCCCCTGAGGAGGCCAGCACTGTCCCAATCACATTCCAACATATTCTCCAAACCTGAATACAATAAATATAATACCAACCTTTAAACAATGAAATATACCTCCAAACAATTTCAGTTAATGCATTTATAACTTCTTCTGAAAGATAACATTTGTTTTACTTTCTTGGAAACATACAATATTGAACATTTCTTAAAATTCAGTCTTACTTCTGAATCATGATCGGTGAACTCTGCTACTCTTTTAATGGTGAATTTGTTGTTGTTGACTTGATTTGCTGCTAGAGGTGCATCTCTTGTGCTGGAAACATCAAATATCAATTGTTTACTTCCTACAATTTATAGTGAAGTTCATTACATTTTACATCATACAGTGACTGAAAAATACTATAATCCCTGGAGAGCTCCACAAATATATCATTTGTAAGTTATCTTTATCTTAATGACAACTTCAGTGTGATTTGAGCTCATTTTAACAGATCACTTTCAAACAAGAGGCCCACAGGGCCTGTATCATTCACCTGGAACCACAGGGCCTGTATCATTCACCTGGAACTTAAAGTCCAGCAATGTTATACATGCGTAAAGGTTGGGTTATTTTAAATATTTCCAAATTAAAGCTCAGTCACTTAACCTCTTTGATGGGGCAACACAAATGGGTAAATTCTTATATCATTACTGTCTTTCTCTTTTGATTCCCAGTGGTTATCGGGTTGGTATCTCAACTATATAAAAAATATGACCTGAGATAATATTCCTGAAGGTGTGCCACACTCAAGGGTCAATTTTCACATAACTAATGTGTTTATCTCTTGATACCATGCAATTGTTTATATTTATGGTTATGGGGTGGGAATTTCATTTGCTTGAAAGACGTCACCCTGACAATACATCCAGAGGGGTGAGGCCACAACCAGGGCCTGTTCTTATATTGTGAATGTGTTGATTTCTTAATGCCCACTATTGCCATATATGGTTTAGTGGGTGGGGATCTCAACTGTTTCAAATATATTACCATGAATCTGAATCCTTACAAGTAGAGCCAGACTCCCGGGCTAATTCTAACATCATGTTTTTGTTTATCGCTATATGCCAAGCAATGCTATACATAATTATGGGATGGGGTTGTAAACTGCACATTTCCCCAGTGAGCCCCTCCCCTCCTGCCCTGGGGCCGAGATTCACCATTTAAACAAAACTGATTCCCCTTCTCTCAAACATGATTCACGCCAAATTTAGACAAAAGTCAATCATTCCTACAGGAGGATTTTAATATTGGGCCCTGCTCCTCCCGCCCTAGGGGTCCCTGGAGATCCATCATGAATACAAAATTGATTCCTCTTCATCAAAAGCTGCTTCTGACTAGGTTTACTAAAAATACGATCGAAGGGACATAACTCAACAATTTACCTATTTCATCTTGTACTCTGCTATGTCGAGTCACACCAAAAGGAGATATGCGAGTACATGTATATCAGGTTTGCCAACCAAGAAGTGTAAGAACATGTGAAAATAAAGAGAGGTTTGAGTAAATACAAGTGTAGATGTAAGTACAAGTGTATATATATATGTTTCCTGAAAGGTTTAAGTACATGTGTATATATAAGAAGTTACCTGAAAGGTGTAAGTACATGTGTGTTGGTATATATATTATTATAAGAAGTCACCTGAGAGGTGTGAGGCTGATAACTTTGAGATCTTTAGATGCTACTGCCAGGAGATGATATGACCTCCCTAAGTTAGGAGCAAAGGCAATGTCATGCACCGGATCTGTTACAATATTGATGGTTTCCACTTTCACCCATTTCCTGTAAAGAATGAAACGTACACATAAAATCTGTAGCTTCACTAAACATTTCAGTATTTGTTTTCTTCATTTATAATCCTGCACAGACACCTTCAGTTTGAAAGCTGTAGAATCAACAGAATTATTGTAACACATTTCTGTACAGTCACCATCGGTCTGAGGACTGTAGAATGATAATTACCTAACTTGAATTTGTAGCTAATACAAATGAAAATTACCTTGTCTTATCGTTGTATTCATAAATCTGAACTTTCCCCCCACCAGCAGGACTGGCATCATCACTCCCCACTGCTATCATCGGTGGATGCATTCTACAACAAAAACACAATATTTACCAAGTACATTCACAATTTCACATCATAACCTATAAGAAAAATGATCAAAAATATCATTTGCTTTTGTCACAGAAACAAAAAAGACTTCTAATACTGGGATAATATGTTTACACTGTTAACAAATACAGATTTTCTCTTAACATTACCCAGTGTTTTTAGCAATCTCATTCTAAACTTTTGATAGATAAATTATCAAACTAGTCTTTTGCTCATGGATATCTCATGAGGTACACATCTATACATGTGTAAAGGGGGAGAGGGACTTTGTACATACGTATACATGTCTGAAAGTGGAGGGGCTCTGTACATACCTATACATGATTGAAAGTGGAGGGGCTCTGTACATACTCATACATGATTGAAAGTGGGAGGGGGGCTCTTTACTTATGTATACATATCTGAAGGGGGAGGCTGACTCTGTGCAAATCTTGAAATGTACCATGACTGACAACTATAGCTAAATTTGGTCTGTAAATGTGTATATAGAAGGAGAGAGGTGAGGGAGACACTGGGGACGGAGTGTAAATACCTTGACATGTTCCATGACAGACAACTGCAGCTAAGTTTGGTCTGTATGTCATTCTGAAGGGACCACTGACTCAGGTTCATCACATCAGGAGCCTCGTATATTCTAACTGTCCCATCAGCTGAACATGTAGCCTAAAATTACCATGTATATGTATCATTGGCATTATCAAGTCTTTCAATATCAGCTTTAGATAACAATGATGGTGAAATCATGTTTGCATCAAATGAAACAACGAATAACATTAGTCAAACATCTCATATGAGCCTTTCTTACAAATGTTGAAGGATATTGTATTGAAGTGATTATTGTAAAATTACTAGAATAAGAACTCATCTGGAAATCAGAGTACATATTATTTGAAGATGCCGGAGAAGAAAATTTGAAAACTAGAGATGTTAGGATGAGAAAATACTTAAACTAACATACCAATAGTCTGTTTACCTTGATTTGTTACAATGAAATGATTATATAGCCTAGCTATGTTGAAACTTAAAATCATAGCTGTGATCCTGGAGTATAAGCTACAATATCTGAATAGGGTTGAACATGGAATTCATTGTGCTTCTCACCAGCTGTAATCCTAAATGTTTAGGTGCAAATTTGACATCAGTGACTGAAGTGCGACTGTCAACCAAACTTGACCTCTTCACCCAGTTGCTCTGGTTACCCTTGCCATACTCTCCAATGATTTCTTCCCAAACTGCAGCTGTTCGATCAAATGAGCAGGTGGCAATGACCTGGCCAAACTCAGGATGGGCCCAAGTAACCCGCCACACAGATCCACTGTGAGTCTGTAAACGAAAAGGATTCATCTCTCAAACAATATTTAGTTGCATCCATCTGTTGTAAATAATGCTTTTTGTGCACTGTTGTAACACCAAAACCAGAGGGAAATAAAAAAAAAAAACATCTGAGGAATTATCCAAATAATTTATAACTTTTACAAATGTCTTTTGGCCTTTGTGAGTAAATAAGGATATGTAGATGAAATCATTACTTACATTTTATCATTAGTAACTATAGGAAATCAACATCTGATCCAAGGTTAATAAACAAGTCTGATTTTGATTTATGCTTTGCAATTATTTGAATAAGACATTTGAATATCTTGTTAACTTACTCTCCAGCTTGCTGTGCAATTCCACTGACCATCTTCACCAAGATCCCAAACCTGAAGTAAAGAGTTTCATATAAGACCACTTCTTTGAGATTACCAATATACTCAACTTATACAGTACAGAAGAACAGATGCAATGAAGGAGGTATACCAATAAACCTTTCTTTCTAAAACAGTATATATTAGTCTGAAGGACAAGAGCATAAAATTCATTTCCCTTATACAATGGCACACCACAAGTAGGTATTCAGGTAAGGTTCTTCAACATTTTGTTGGGAAGGAATGATATTAAAATAGTTTTTTGTATTCCCTAACTAGATCCAACCAATGTATTACTGTATAAGTTTGCATACCAGGTATGTAATAGACCAAGAAGACTGAACTGATAATTTCAATTTCAATTCTAACGGCGTTGCAACTGATTCGATTTCACTGTTCCCATACATATAGGAATTCTATTAGGGTATAACAAGTATTAGCTTCTAACGAGCGGATTGCAATAACATGTCTCAAATATGTCTCACAATGTCGTAATACTGTAAATGATACTTAGCCTCATTTATGCACCGCAAAGTTAGGCCTTATTACTATTTTTTGTATAAAGCGAAACTAGACGCTCCAGTAAGCTATTGGCAATGCTTTGTACCTTTACGGTTTGGTCGCTTGAACATGTAGCCATGCGATTTCCATGAAAGTCATATGATACATCATGAATAAGATCTTTGTGTTCCGCTGGAATTTGTCGAGTTACAAACATGGTATTATTCAATAGAAATATTCACATCAATCTAAATTTTATATTAGCTCCACATTTCCAACATCACACGTTTGGTTCTTCCATCTTCGCGGCCCTTCAGCTGCTTCTGAAGTAACCGAGTTGTTGATTGGTTAGTACACGACAACTCGTCCAATCATATGTTATTTTAGAAAATGTGTTTGGGACGAAAACGGAAGCACTGTGTGGAGTGATCAAGAGGACCAACACCGATAGTAATCTAGTTGTAATCTTTATTGGCGGGACAGTAGTATTTCCATATTAGATATGTTTAAGTGCTAAAGCACGCATCCAAGATTCTTTTTTGTAACCGATCGGTAAGTTTAGTAATTGCATTATTGACTGCTTCTCAAGTGTGCATGTGGTTACTCTCAGATCAACGTAGTCGATAATGCATTATATGGAGCTTTGGGCTCCGGAATCTTTTTTTTTATAGTTTAATGAATTTTACGTTGGTCTCTGATTGAACCATGCTATACTGGTGTACTAGAATATTAATTCACGATTCTAATATTAATTCCTTCGTAACCCCATATTATCAGGTAATGTTTTATGTACGAACATCCTGTGATGTTTAGTAACACACTTATACTGTAAAGTCCAAAGAACAATACATATACATATAAATGCAGATCTTTAAGAATGTATTATCAACAGTATATGCCATCGTAGATATTAGTATGTTTAATAGTTAGAAGGATGGATGAATTGTCATAATAAGAAAAGCTAAATTCTTCCAACATCATATAAAAAAACCTGAAAAGTTGAACTGTTTGAGTACATTTTACACAGTTAAAGGATATTAGACTTATAAAACTTGGAACTCATATAAGTTAGTAGAAAAACGTTTTAATCATTCCATTGATTGATGTTTTTTGACTATTGATTGACACAAAAATAAAATGGGGGATATATATGTCCACAATACCCTATTTAATTCCCAATTCCTATTTAACATTATAACTCTTAGTTGTCTGTTGGCAATGGGCTGCCTGTAGAATTCAAAGATATGCTTCAGTTTTCTAAAAAGTGACAATAAGCTTTAGTGACTAAGTAAGTATCATTATACATCTTCAGAAAATGTTATGGAAAAAATATAAATAAGTGACATGATGGTTTATTTGCTGCTGGTTTTATTGCCTGTCCATCAGCGGAAAGGATTATAAAGATGTCTAAATTTACACCACCGCTTTTAATTAAACTTTGTATTTGTTTTATGTTCTTTGTATGCAGTGTAATTTCTGTAATATTTGTGTCTTAATAAAGGGGCAGATTGCCTGGAAAATTTGACAATTTTCATGTCAGACCGTTGCTATTACTTCATTGATTATATATATGGCTTTGCAATACATAGTGTAACATGTTTCCTCTTCCTTTTGTAGACATGACAACAAGATGCCAGTGACAAAATTCCACCCTTACCATGGACAAAACATTCGTCTTCTCAATGACAACATGGTGGCCTTTAGAGAGACTAGTTTTGCACATGCCCTGACCTTCAGTGAGAAGGCATTGAAACCTGGAGAAATATTTCTTGTTGAGATAGAAAAGAATGAGTTAGGATGGAGTGGACATATGAGAATAGGTCTAACACAGTTTGATCCAAGCTGCAAATTTGAACTTCCACAATATGCATTACCAGATCTTCAAAACATGGGGAAATCTTGGATTTTTGCAGTGACAAAGTCACACAATAAAGTGGTATACTCAGAGGCTGGTGACTCGGACAGTATAGATAGGGAGATTCATCAGTCAGTGCTAGGAGACACAGAGGTGATACACACACCCCAGGGCTCCTTCAGCAGAAGTTTACTACTACCCATACGGAAACTTTTATCCAATAATTATGACACTTCTGTTAGTACCTCCTCATCAGAAAGTGCCCTTCCAACAGACATTGGTAGCAGGATTGGGATCATGTATCGTGTGGTGGGGGACACAGCAGAAATGAGGTTTATCATCAATGGTGAAGATCAGGGACCTTGTGCGAGAAATATTCCCCACCAAGGGGGACCACTCTATGCAGTGGTAGATGTGTATGGTACCACAAAACAAGTGAGGATAATCCAACTGTATTGTGGTAAGTATATAGTCACTCTACACTTTCATATTCAATGTAAAAAATTAAGTTCACAACAGAATATATTGATGTTAGGTTAAACCCATAGCTTATATAATATATATTTGCTTTACGTAAAAGAAAAAAAAATGGAAAAAAAAGTAGATTAATATTTCAATTTTCAACTTTGTAAAACTATGTAAATTTATGGAGACAAGTTGAAATTTTCCTGCTAGGTGTATAAGATTGTATGAGGGTTGAATGTTGGTAGACAACTTTCCTGCTAGGTGTATAAGATTGTATGAGGGTTGAATGTTGGTAGACAACTTTCCTGCTTGGTGTATAAGATTGTATGAGGGTTGAATGTTGGTAGACAACTTTCCTGCTAGGTGTATAAGATTGTATGAGGGTTGAATGTTTGTAGACAATTTTCCTGCTAGGTATATAGGATTGTAGAAGGGTGGAATGTCAGTAGACAACTGTATCATAAGTGCCATATGAATGTAATAATGTTTTCATTTTTCAGTGTCCTCGCTTCAGAATGCATGTAGAGACAGAATACTTCAGTTGACAAAGGAGGAAGATGTTACCTGCCTACCATTGCCAATGAAACTGAAACAATTTCTGCGATATGAACTATAGCACCATACTTACAATAGCTTAAATGTTATACTCTGTATCAGATTGTTGTGTGATATTCAAAATTGATTTATATTTATGTACGATATACATGTACAGCATTGCGATAAATTGCCTTGAATTTCGATAGTCCTAGTGTAAGATAACAATATCTTGAAGACATAATGACATACTATAGAAAGTTATACTGTAGGGGTATATGAACAGTTTTATGTTTTGTTTTGATAATTTTAATTCTTTTTGTTTCTACGATTAACACAACAAATGACTTACAAAGCCAATGATTCTATTTGATGTGCTGTTTTTTGTCTTGCCATAAGAGGAATCATGACTGTTATAAAGTGTTATTTTTTGTTGGTACACTTCCCCTTGCCACATTGCTTTTAGAACTTGGGTTAAACAGATTTTCTCAGAAAGTATAATTTCTAGAGCTAACTTATTTGGACAAGATGGAAAGACTTATAGCAGACTCAGATCTTTTTGATAAGGAATAAAATTGAAATTTACTTTATATTGGATCATCGAGTCACTGTCCATTTGAAATTGGATGGAGATATAGCTTTGTATAAATGGTTTTTTGAGGGTGAAAAATATGATATTTTGGTTGATTTCAAGAGTTTGCAGACACTCCTATAGATATCAAATTGATAAAAAAAATACTGCACATGACTTCAGTAAATCATGTTTTTTTCTATTATAAGTTCATTTCAGATTTTTCAGATTCAGAATTTTTAATAAGTACCTTGTTTATTCAACCAGAAATTTTTGAGTGAAATTTGGTTGTTTGAGATCTTACATCATGATTTAGAATCAGTACACAAGATCCATATGTTGAGAACTGGTAAAATTTTTAAAATTTAAGAAGTTAAGAAAGACAATAACAATAGTTTTCTCATCAACATCTAGTTTTGTACTCTGATAAAAAAATTTTGATAGAAACAGGACCTTGGCTCATTTTCCTTCTGAAATTTCAATGTTTTGAAAAATCAATAATGTTTTGTAGAGTTACATCAGGAATGTCATGACTAATACCTTCTCATAAATTTTGTTATTTATTTTTTGTTTTATAATATATATATGTTTACTAACATTTTTATCTTTGTACTATTGTTTATGGGAAACATGTCAGAATTGACTGCTTTAATTTTTTACTTATTAGAAGGGTTATATTTATATACATAAATTTCAGGATATTGTTCAGTGAAAATAAGACAATATGAAAAATAAATAAATAAGTAAATAAATAAATAGGACATTAAGGTATGAAAAGAAGTCACTTATTCAGTGTAATTAAAGCAGTAAGGTGTGGCAGGGGATATTCAAAGTGATGATATTCAGTGTTATTATTTTGTCCAACAGTTTTTATATATGAATTGTTTTCCAACATATTAGGTTATTTGGTGCATTGAAGTTCATGTGGTAATAAAGTGAAAAACAAAGTCGGAGTTCAAGGACATTTATCAAGATTTTTGGTATGAGTGATCATGTTTTGTTCAAATGGTACACAAAAAGAATGAAAGATAATAATAGAAAATAACAATTCTGTAAGTTAAGTAAGTTTCATCTAGACAGATTTCAGAGTAAACCAGTTACTCAGTGATACATGTATGGATGGAACGAATGTGTGAAATGGCTTACATACCGTATAGAAAATCATCTGTGAGTTAATTTATCTCACAGTTAAAACACCATCTGACTATGTAATGATTCATTAAAAATAAATTAGACCATAAAATTGTTTGTCTTTTTATCCCCATCATTTCTGGGTCATATTTTCGACATACTTCAAATACCACCCAACATCCATATAAACTCTTACTGGGCATCAGAAGAGAAAGACAATCATGATAGAAGAACTTACCAACTTGTCTTGTGACATCAAAGAAGTTAAGCGACTGAGCTTTAATTTGGAAATATTTGAAATACCTAACCTATAGGCATGTATACCACTGCTTGGCTTTTAAGATTCAGGTTAGAACTAAAGACCCTACTGGCCTCTTGTTTAATGTTTTATTTTCATGTGGTCTCTCATCTGTTGCATCATATTCAGCCTCTGCTTGGTGTCTCTTGGTTCTAGTACAGGCTGATGATATTGAACTTCCCTATCCTCACTTAAGTTGATGATTTTCAAGCGCTTGGTAAGTTCTAGTGTAAAGCCAAGTTCCTCATGGATTCAACTTCCAGCTTTATGTCAATGGGTTCTTCATGAAAGCACTGACAATCAATCAGTGTTTGCTGCAGTGTGTTAAATCATTCATCTGAGGGAAGCTTTACTGCATTAATTATAACCTCAGAATATTTCATATCTTTCCATCCTACAGAGACGTGAATATTATGCACAACTTCACAGTTACCTTGTTTTGGTTGTGTCTGAATGCGACTAGCATCTATTTATTGGTTACAGAACTGTTATATTCACAGAAAATATTTTCAGTGATAAGTCCATTGTATGCCTTCAGACTAACCTGTATCACAGTTGATAGTACATATAGATGTATATACAGTACATACATATATAGAGATTTACTCAAGTGATGGTTTTGGTGCTGAAGCCGATTTGGTAACATAGTAACATGGCTATTGTAGGAATACAGGTAATTGGCCTTACCTAAAATTCTGCACTTCATATTTTCTTTAAAGGAGGTAAATAATATATATATATATAAATATTTCTCCACATCAATTTGATAATGTCTAGAAGCTACAAGCTTTTAATCCTTTATTGATAAAAAAACCCATTTATTTGAGTGGGTCCTATCAAGAGGATTAATTTGAAAATTTGAACAGCATTTATGGAAAGTATATCGTCTTATTATGAAATTTAGTTCGTTAGTTAAGGAATATTGTTAATGGGAGATAAATCTTATACACTTCGGGTAAGGTATTCTACAACCAAAACATTTTCGACATTTCCAACAGCGAAATGATATATATATAAACAACAACTGTTCAGTGAAACGGTCTTTTCCTGATTCAATATAATGACTACTGTTGCATTTCAGTAGTTATAATAATGACTTCGTTTTTAAAGCTAATGAACCGTACAGGCCCATTGCGCCTGGAAGTCCTCATCACTAAAGCGTTTGTAACTGTAGGAAGTGTAACGAGTTCAGTGTAACTCGTGGTGGTTATTGCATGTGGGTTGCATGTGTTCCCATTCGTTTTAGGTCTGTTATAAGACTGCCTTGGTATTAATCGTTTTTGAAAGTCATGTGTAGCGTGCAAGAGGGAGATTCTGACGGTCCGATCCAGAAAGAAAGAATCAGGTAACTGGTAACTCGGAAACATACTGTAATCTCCAAACTAGTGATATTACAACGTCACCAGTTATGACGAATAGTGAAATAATGTTTTTCATACAAGGAACGTGAAATATAGGGATAAGAGACTTTATAAATGAGTGAAGTAGCCTTACTGTATGTATATATACCATTTTTCTCCAAAAGAAGTCAACACATAACTGATCTGTTTTTTTTTTTAATAAAACAATCGCGAATAGGGACAAGCCTAATGCGTGAACTCTTGTGACAAAATGCAATATGACATACATTGTATACCCCTTTTCGGCCGAGAGAAATCACTGTCAAATTAATGGCATTAAAAAGTAATTTTCCTATTTATAGAAGTTTTACTCATGTATATTTTTCTAAGGATACTCCATTTTGATCTGTTAGTTTTATTTTTTATTTTGAAAATGAGATTCATTTCTCACTGGCCGTTTAAAAGGCTCTGCCTTGCGACTGGTCAGTGCTAGGTCCACATGATATGAATAGGGTATAGGTATTAGGTAGATAATAGATAACAACTGTGAGGAGAGAGGACTTTGATGTCTCTTTACAGCTCAGTCAACAAACACAAAAGTTAACAACAGAAATGTCTGCACTGGACCTAGACCCAACATTACAAACTCTAATGTTTTATATAGGTGAGGTAACAGATCTACAAAGAGAATAATCCCAGTATACTAATTTTCACATTTTACTTTGTTGTGGTAGATTATTCCCTATCGTTGATTTTTTAACTGACAGCATGTAACTGCAGAACAATCCAACAATGCAAAGTTAAAAACAAGAGGAATTATTGTGATCTTATCCAATCAAGAGATAGGTTTCAATTTGTTGGTTGATAGTTACCACAGAGACTTGTGTACATGTACATAGGTCTGGTCACTGATCGCATTAAACTGTTAAATAGGTTTGTAAGAAAGTTTTAGTCTGATTTTGTTTCAAATTCACCATAAACATGTGTCATATTGTTCTTCAGATATTCATGATGCATATATGTATATACCTAAAAAATGTACTTATCTGTATTTTCAGTCCTGGAAGAAAATGCATGAAGTGTCACACAGAAAATGCTATTTTGATCACCCGAGTAAATGATGCCTTTTGCAAGTAAGTAATACTATATAAACAGCAGCACAGTATATCAGATTTTTACTTGCATAAGGCATTTTTATGTAATAGAGGGAATAAGCTTTCTATATATCAAACACACATTTGTTGGCCTTCTGGTTTGCTAGTATGAAACATATGTGGGTGCGATCTGCATTTGGTATATGTAAATTTCACTCCAGATAACACTGGATATTCAAGTTGTTCCAGATGGTACAGTATATTCTGGTTGTTCCAGATAGCACAGAATATTCTGGTTGTTCCAGTAACCTTACTTAGAATATTCTGGTTGTTCCAGTAACCTTACTTAGAATATTCTGATTGTTCCAGTACTTAGAATAGTCTGGTTGTTCTAGTAACCTTACTTAGAATATTCTGGTTGTTCCAGTAACCTTACTTAGAATAGTCTGATTGTTCCAGTAACCTTACTTAGAATAGTCTGATTGTTCCAGTAACCTTACTTAGAATAGTCTGCTTGTTCCAGTAACCTTACTTAGAATAGTCTGGTTGTTCCAGTAACCTTACTTAGAATAGTCTGATTGTTCCAGTAACCTTACTTAGAATAGTCTGATTGTTCCAGTAACCTTACTTAGAATAGTCTGGTTGTTCCAGTAACCTTACTTAGAATAGTCTGGTTGTTCTAGATAACCTTACTTAGAATAGTCTGATTGTTCTAGATAGCAAAGAATATTACGGATTATCCAGCTCCTTATTGTATAGATAATCCATGTTGGCTTAATAAGGTTTATGAGGACAACTATAGAAACTATACTTGTGACATAATTCCATTTATCTGTGGTGTTTTCAGGGCTTGCTTTATGGTATATGTAACACACAAGTTTAGGGCCACCATTGGAAAGTCGAAGTTGGTACGTGATGGAGAAAAGGTATTAGTGGCTTACTCTGGAGGTCCATCGTCTAGCTGTCTTCTCCATCTGATCACAGAGGTAAGGTCATCAAATGTTTTCTTGGAGTTATTATTGCCATAGAGAGTTTGTTATTTCATCATAAATCTACTTACGAGCTTGTATAGGCTACACTTGTTGTCCAATTCCCTTTGTACAGTGTTCTGTGCAAAAACATTCAGGAATTAGAGGCTCTCTGTTTATCTTAATTAGAGGGGAAAGTTATCTGAAATGTAAAGAATTATTATGAATGAAATTTGATTTGTAGTTTTATTTTTCCACAGGGATTGAGTCAAAGAGCACACAAGAAACTACGCTTCACCCCTGGGATTGTCTTCATAGATGGTATATTTTATAAGAAATTTCTACTAGCTGTAAAAATATGTTGATATAGAAAGACAGAAAAAATAAAAACATTTATATAAAAGGAATTATTGAAATATTGAATTGAATCAGCACAAAAATAAATTACTTATACACGATACAAAACATGATTTGGCATGAGGAAGAATATTATTGAGTTGTACAATAAGTTTGTATGTAGATGTGAACTATGACACGTTTGTTTATGTAGAGAGTGCTGTGCTAGACAACCTGGTACAGGATGGTGTAGCCGATAAGGAGAGAATAGCTGAATTAATGGAAAATGTGGGATACCCATGTCATACCAGATATTTAGAGGAGGTGAGAGCTTTTGGGTTACCTTTTTTGAGATCATTGTTCTGATTGGCTGAACCTACCTGGTATTGTGAAAGTGTTACTGTTGTGTTATAATGTTACTTGCATACAAGGTACTGTTAGAATTACAAATAAATCACAAAATAAGTGAGATTGTCTCCCTTCCCACATAAGTCTTAAAGACAAATACAACCTTACTTAGCTCACTTTATCAAATTTTACAAATACACCACAACCTTACTTAGCTAACTTTATCAAATTTTACAAATACACCACAACCTTACTTAGCTGACTTTATCAAACTTTTCATATATCCGTCAATATACTTCATACAAAGCAGGTGCAAATCATTTTAATTTCCACTTTTTCTTTTTGAGTCCAAATAACTAATCCTTTTTACCAAACTGGTGTTAAAAGATCTTTACTGTACTACAATCCAGAGACATCATGTACCTAACCATGGCATTCTTGATTGATATAGCCTGATGGCTAAACTGCTGTAAAAAGATCTTTACTGTACTACAATCCAGAGACATCATGTACCTAACCATGGCATTCTTGATTGATATAGCCTGATGGCTAAACTGCTGTAAAAAGATCTTTACTGTACTACAATCCAGAGACATCATGTACCTAACCATGGCATTCTTGATTGATATAGCCTGATGGCTAAACTGCTGTAAAAAGATCTTTACTGTACTACAATCCAGAGACATCATGTACCTTACCATGGCATTCTTGATTGATATAGCCTGATGGTTAAACTGCTGTAAAAAGATCAGTTTTATCAGAAATTATAGGAGATTAAATTGACAGGCTACCAAAGAAATCATTTTCACTTTTTTTGGAAAGTTGTTCAATTATCAGAACTGCAGATGAAATTTCCATGCAAGTTAAGACAGCGTTACATTCAAGTGATTAACTGTATGTATTATTATCTTATTGTGTAGAAGTTTATTTCTGCTGTGCCCTAATTTCTCTCAAATTTTGATGAAAACCAGTGTATCTAATTTTAGCCATGTCATATTTTTGCTACTGTAGAGCAGAAACTAGATTTAATCCTCCTTTTTATTATTTAAACAAAGGGAAATGAATCTTTGTGACATGCTGGGCATTGTTGTTTAGGCCTTATGCTTGGACCAAGATGGACTCTTACCAAAAGCTGACCTGTCTAGTCTGACTGAAGCTGACCAGTCCAGTTTTTGTACTGCTGCCATTCACAGCAACAGCCTTGACAGAGCAAGAACTGAGATAAAATCCTTGTTTTCCTCCATCAAATCTCTCACAGCCCGGGAAGACATGCTCAACAAATTAAGGTATCATTAAATTGTACAATTATCATTTCAAAGTTTCAAGTATATTCATGAATTATGTTTGACAGTATAACATGATTAAGTCAGTTTGTGTGTCTGTCATATTAACAGTAAAATAAATAATTTTCCATGTCAAATGATTATGTCATCATGTGTCATTCTGGTATAAAATGTTTTTAAAAAAACTCCTTATTATCAATTACATTTTAGACAGAGGTTACTGATGGAGGTGGCCAAAGTTCAAGGATACTCTAAGGTCATGACAGGTCACTGTGGGACTCGGCTTGCGGTCAATCTCCTGTCAGATATATCGCAGGGAAGGGGTTCTCATGTGGCTATGGATACAGTAAGTTGATGTCTCTGATATCTTTATCTAGGTAAGGTACACTGATGAGTTTGTCCTCTGTTTTCTGTGTAAACCAGCAGTTTGTATATTTGTTCAGATTGATTCGGGATCTTTTTCAGTTTTTGGTTTTAAGACTTTTATACTTCTCTGAAATATTTCAATATAAAAAAATATTTATGATATACTATCTAAATGAAATGATTTTTCTTGATTTTTAGGCATTTTCAGACACTAGGTATCCAGACATCATGTTTGTTCGACCTATCAGGTAGGATTTTTTCATCACACAAGAACATTTATAACAGTCATGACGTGGCATCAAATTTTCCAGTCAAATTTCTGAAGTGTTTCATTTTTCTGATTGATATTACCCAATGAAAATGGTAGCCATTGAAAAATGTCTTTATTCCTTTCCACAAATTAGTTTAACACATGTGGTCTAAAGCATGTTATGAATCAACCACACAGATTAATGTATTGCTAATAGGAATACTTAATCTTTAACTTATCAGTTGTTACTTTAGTTAAGGATGATTTCTCAAAAAGTATGGTTTGTTCTCAATTAGTGAAGTAGGAGTGTTGTCAAATGGGATTTGTTATTATCTGTGTTTGGACTGTTTCCATAGTAACATCTTATAGGCTATAAGTGTAAGAGTTACTATGTGTACCTGATGTGTATTTATAGTATTGTATTACGGTAGATACTAAAACTTTGATTTTATTTAACAGAGGCTTCAGTTCAAAGGAAGTGGCTATGTATAATGCTCTACATGGTGTGGAGTCTGTGTTTTTACCAACACTTACAACCAAGGTAGAACAAACTTAGGAAATTTGTTTTTGGAAACAATGACTATGAATATTGTGTACAACAATACTTGATTGAGATTTTGTGCTGTTTTCTTCATGAATTGATGAAGTTATGAACTACAATATATAGAGATACTTGAATTTCCATCTCATTTGAATTTATGAATTTCTTAAGAGTCTTTTGTTTTGCTAAGCTTCAGGAGATCTAGTAAAATAAATTGTGACAGTCTTCATAAATATCATAGACACAAATTGCGTTGTGTTATCAAGGGCAGAAATTCGTAAAGCATATGGATTTCCTCAAGAAGATTAATAAAACCACAAGGAGAAGATTACATTGTCGATAAAGATGATTTAAAACTTTAAGAATTTTTATTTTCTCATCTGCTTACTTTTGTTCAATTGTCAGACACATGAAGGATCAAGTATTGAACACCTGACGGAGGCATTCGTGACAGGACTGCAGGCCGATTATCCGTCCACTATCAGTAATATAATGAGGTATGTTGTAACTCACAGGACTGCAGGCTGATTACCACTATCAGTAATATAATGAGGTATGTTGTAACTCACAGTAACTCAAGGACTGCAGGCTGGTTACCACTATCAGTAATATAATGAGGTATGTTGTAACTCACAGTAACTCACAGGACTGCAGGCTGGTTACCACTATCAGTAATATAATGAGGTATGTTGTAACTCACAGGACTGCAGGCTGATTACCACTATCAGTAATATAATGAGGTATGTTGTAACTCACAGTAACTCACAGGACTGCAGGCTGGTTACCACTATCAGTAATATAATGAGGTATGTTGTAACTCACAGTAACTCACAGGACTGAAGGCTGATTACCACTATCAGTAATATAATTAGGTATGTTGTAACTCACAGTAACTCACAGGCTAATATATTGCAGTACCATGATACTGATAAATATAATAAGAGTTTTTCTTGCATTTAAGGACTGGTGAGAAGTTAAGTACAGAGAAAAAGGAGGGAGAAAACTGCCACTGTGCCTTGTGTCAGGTATGTCTACATTGTGTGAGGCAGCCATTTTGCCTTGTGTCAGGTGTGTCTACATTGTGTGATGCAGGCTCTGTGCCTTGTGTCAGGTATGTCTACATTGTGTGAGGCAGCCATTTTGCCTTATGTCAGGCATGTCTTCTTTATATGAGCCAACCACTGTGCCTTGTGCCAGGTGTTTCACATTGTGTGAGGCAGCCACATTGCCTTATGTCAGGTGTGTTTACTTTATATGGGGCAACCACTGTGCCTTGTGTCCGCTGTGTTTACTTTATATGGGGCAACCACTGTGCCTTGTGTAAGGTGTGTTTACTTTATATGGGGAAACCACTGTACCTTGTGTCAAGTGTGTCTACATTGTGTGAGGCAGCCACTTTGCCTTGTGTCAAGTGTGTCTACTTTATATGAGGCAACCACTGTGCCTTGCATCAGGTGTGTTACATTGTGTGATGCATGCTCTGTGCCTTGTGTCAGGTGTGTAACATCGTGTGATGCAGGCTCTGTGCCTTGTGTCAGGTGTGTCTACATTGTGTGATGCAGGCTCTGTGCCTTGTGTCAGGTATGTCTACATTGTGTGATGCAGTCTCTGTGCCTTGTGTCAGGTGTGTAACATTATGTGATGCAGGCTCTGTGCCTTGTGTCAGGTGTGTAACATCGTGTGATGCAGGCTCTGTGCCTTGTGTCAAGTGTGTCTACATTGTGTGAGGCAGCCACTTTGCCTTGTGTCAAGTGTGTCTACTTTATATGAGGCAACCACTGTGCCTTGCATCAGGTGTGTTACATTGTGTGATGCATGCTCTGTGCCTTGTGTCAGGTGTGTAACATCGTGTGATGCAGGCTCTGTGCCTTGTGTCAGGTGTGTCTACATTGTGTGATGCAGGCTCTGTGCCTTGTGTCAGGTATGTCTACATTGTGTGATGCAGGCTCTGTGCCTTGTGTCAGGTGTGTAACATTATGTGATGCAGGCTCTGTGCCTTGTGTCAGGTGTGTAACATCGTGTGATGCAGGCTCTGTGCCTTGTGTCAAGTGTGTCTACATTGTGTGAGGCAGCCACTTTGCCTTGTGTCAAGTGTGTCTACTTTATATGAGGCAACCACTGTGCCTTGCATCAGGTGTGTTACATTGTGTGATGCATGCTCTGTGCCTTGTGTCAGGTGTGTAACATCGTGTGATGCAGGCTCTGTGCCTTGTGTCAGGTGTGTCTACATTGTGTGATGCAGGCTCTGTGCCTTGTGTCAGGTATGTCTACATTGTGTGATGCAGGCTCTGTGCCTTGTGTCAGGTGTGTAACATTATGTGATGCAGGCTCTGTGCCTTGTGTCAGGTGTGTAACATCGTGTGATGCAGGCTCTGTGCCTTGTGTCAGGTGTGTCTACATTGTGTGATGCAGGCTCTGTGCCTTGTGTCAGGTGTTTCACATTGTGTGAAAAATGTTACAGATAACAATACAGAAGGACAACTAATGTTTATGTTTAGTGTTCTGTATAATGAGATTCCTGTAGGATGATGATATTGTTTCAATTAGAAAAGGTTCCAAAACAATTTGTTCTATATTTTTCAAGAGTTTATTGCCAACATGTTTGGGCCTAGGACTAGTCACAAACTTATGTAGAAGACTAGGGGAAACTTTCAACACTCTCATGCATTGGATCTAATTCAGGTTTTACATAGAACAAATACCACTACTTCTTATGTATCTATGATACCACAATTCAGGCCTTATACAATTTGACTAAACACTCACTACATCCTCATCTGTTTTTAGGATTAACACATTTGTTATCCTGAAAATATCTTTGATTTACTTGTTCATTAGATTTACCTCTTACCATGGCTGGACATCAGATCAATAGAGGAAAATTAATTTCTTCTAACTTATCATTTTTGTCTTTGCTGTAGGGTCCTCTGGATACAGATGTTGGGCCCTCATCAGCACTGAGTGCCGTAGAGTTCTCTTCTCTCATCTCCCAGAAGAAGAAGAAAAATTCAACCACATGTGGAGAAAAAGACACCTGTTGTGGAGAAGGGGATGGTAGCTGTCACACAAAGAATGAGGGGTAAGGTCACCTACCTGTTTTGGGGAGGTTGATGGTAGCTGTCAAACAAAGACTGAGGGATTTAGGTCACCTACCTGTTTTGGGTAGGTATTACACACAGACTGAGGGGTAAGGTAACCTACCTGTTTTGGGTAGGTATCACACACAGACTGAGGGTTAAGGTCACTTAGCTATTTTGGGTAGGTATTGCACAGACTGAGGGTTAAGGTCACCTACCTGTTTTGGGTAGGTGTCGCACAGACTGAGGGTTAAGGTCACCTACCTGTTTTGAGTAGGTATTTCAAACAGACTGAGGGGTAAGGTCACCTACCTGTTTTGAGCAGGTATCGCACAGACTGAGGGGTAAGGTCACCTACCTGTTTTGGGGAGGTTGATGGTAGCTGTCACACACAGACTGAGGGATAAGGTCACCTACCTGTTTTGGGTAGGTATTGCACACAGACTGAGGGGTATGGTCATCTGCCTGTTTTAGGTAGGTATCGCACACAGACTGAGGGGTAAGGTTACCTACCTGTTTTGGGTAGGTATTGCACACAGACTTAGGGTAAGGTCACCTATCTATTTTGGGTAGGTATTTCAAACAGACTGAGGGGTAAGGTCACCTACCTGTTTTAGGTAGGTATCACACGCAGAGGGGTAAGGTCACCTACCTGTTTTGGGGAGGTTGATGGTAGCTGTCACACACAGACTGAGGGATAAGGTCACCTACCTGTTTTGGGTAGGTATTGCACACAGACTGAGGGGTATGGCCATCTGCCTGTTTTAGGTAGGTATCACACACAGACTGAGGGGTAAGGTTACCTACCTGTTTTGGGTAGGTATTGCACACAGACTGAGGGGTAAGGTCACCTATCTATTTTGGGTAGGTATTTCAAACAGACTGAGGGGTAAGGTCACCTACCTGTTTTGGGTAGGTATCGCTTACAGACTGAGGGGTAAGGTCACCTACCTGATTTAGGGAGGTAAAGGCAGCTGTTACACACAGACTGAGGGGTAAGGTCACCTACCTGTTTTGGGGAGGTTGATGGTAGCTGTCACACACAGACTGAGGGATAAGGTCACCTACCTGTTTTGGGTAGGTATTGCACACAGACTGAGGGGTATGGCCATCTGCCTGTTTTAGGTAGGTATCACACACAGACTGAGGGGTAAGGTTACCTACCTGTTTTGGGTAGGTATTGCACACAGACTGAGGGGTAAGGTCACCTATCTATTTTGGGTAGGTATTTCAAACAGACTGAGGGGTAAGGTCACCTACCTGTTTTGAGTAGGTATCGCACAGACTGAGGGGTAAGGTCACCTACCTGTTTTGGGTAGGTATCACACACAGACTGAGGGGTATGGTCATCTGCCTGTTTTGGGAGGAAGAGAGGGTAATGTTTTAAGATCAATGATAGATAATTCTGAGGTTAATATGTCCAGGTCAAAATATTTAAATATTTTAAATTAAATATGATAGATAAACTTTATTTATTTTACAACAATTGTGAAACAAGTTTTAAAGCTTATATTAATCACTCGTGTTGGCCTGCTTGGAAGGGCAAGGTGTCTTTTGATGGGAGAAAACCGGAGTACCCAGAGAAAACCCACATGGTTAGGCAGGTGATTGCCATTCCTTTTCATGTCCATTTCGGAAATCAAATCCTGGATGCCGAGGTGAAAGGCCAGCGTGTTATCAATGCGCCACCCGACCACTAATAAATCAAATTACATAAAGTTGGTAGATTGTTTAGAAGAGATTTGTGTAATGAAGTTAACCCTGGTGTTTTGTATTTCAGTTTGAAGAGGGATGAAGTCATGTCAGTGTTGTGTTATGGATGTCGAATGACTGTTAAAGACATGGTAAGATTTAAGTAACATGACTGTTTAGTGACTGAAAACATTCTTTGTTAAAAATATACAAAAAGGGTATTTAGTCAGATATATATATAGTTTGTGTACTGTAGTTTGGTCCTAATGAATATATCACTGGTAGGTAAATTTTGAACCACCAAATCATGATTGGTGTACATCACGAAAGAAAGAAGAAATGGTTTTTGCTCTCTTGAATTCCTCTGTAAATGTTAAAAACATGGTTGGACTGATACTTTTAAAAAGAGGTAATTTAGACTAGAAATGGTGAAACTACTTAATAATTTGACGATAAGTTCAACATCAGTCAGAGCCATTCATATTGCCTGTTTCCCATGATAGCACATGTATATTTCAGAATCTGAAATCCTTGAAAATCTTTTTTGTCTGTTAAAGGCTGACCCCACATCACTGCCAGAAAAACTGACGTCACAGATTTCATATCGAATTCGTAGGTAAGTCAACTGTGATAATGTTGTCAGCTTTGATTTTTTGTCAGAATTGATGGTAAATTAAAAATTTTTGTAATTTATTTCAAACTTAAATAGTAAAAAATAGGACAAATTAATTGATTTTCCACCTTTGATTGTAAAATTGAAGTGAAGCTGATTCAGATGTGATTGATTTTCTTATTTGATTCATAGTGGTATAAGTTACATTTTATTTTATAGGTCAAAGATGAAGAATGATATTCAGGATTTTCTTCTTGATCCAGAAAACAGTTGATGAAGACTTTGATAGATAACAACTTATCTACAATGCATTGCAGTTATATATGTCTTCATTATTTATAACAATTTATTAATGTTAAAGGATGCTCTGTTGATTTTCATATGAAATTTAATGTGTGAAAGTCAATAGGCTGAACAATGGTCACGATTGCATGTTGGTCTATGAATGCACCAATATCATATCCTTACATAAAATGAAAAGATATTACCTGTTATAACATGATAAAGTGACACTGAAATGATGTCACACGTTTACAGATGACATGACAATACAGTGGAGACTATATTTATAGAACCAAGACCACAAAAGAATAATATTTACAAACATTTGATAATGTGGTTAAAAGGAACCTGAATTTGTTTCCTGGTTCTTAAAACCATATCTTACTGAATTAAAAGATTTTACTTATTATATCGAAAAATTCTATGACTGAGTTGATAAGTCTCAACCTTAATGTAATTTCATGAAAGATTCTGTCTTTCTCTTTTGGCTGTAAATATGTGTTCTTATTGAGATCAATGAAAAGATATTGGAAACCATGATTGTGTATGTAGTCTTATTGGTAATGAAACAATCAAGAGACCCAAGAGGGATGTTTGTAGCCACCCTTATTTGATTTTTATTTGGTCTTCAAAGTTGGATCTTTTCCCTTCTTTTCTTCGTTTTACTTTGTTTTTGGTATTGTTTGTTTGTTTGTTGTGTTTTTTTTTCTTATATTATGAACTTTGAAAATTTGATGATAATCTTTAACTGTCAAATCCAAGACAGTCATCTGTCGGCCAGATTGATTTTCTGATCAGTCTGAAAACTTAAAAGGCAAAATCAGGAAGTGAGAGAAAGGTATACAGGACATCTGGAGAAAGATCCATAAAGTGCTTCTCCAAATATAGAAGTAACATTTTTTCCAAGTGAAAACACAAGATTATCACCTGTCGGACATTTTGTTTTTCTGATCAGTGCCGAAAACTTAACGTCACAACTAGTAACTAAGGAGAATCTATTTATGGATCTGAAAAATACCCATCCAGTTCTTCCAGTAAAATGGTAACAGCTCTTCAAAGTCAAAATACAAGATAGCCACTTATGAACCACTTTTGTTTTTGATCACTCCCAAAACCGAAACGGCACAACTAAGGAACAAGCCGAACTTATATACAGTATTTGAAATCTGAAAAAAAAAGATGGCCATTTGTAGATAGACTCATCAAGGGACTAAAGAACACCTATGTAAGACAAACATGGGAAAGATCCATTTAGTACTTCTCCAGAAATGATAACAAACAGTCATTAGAGAATTGTAAATAGGATGGGAAAATATTTGCAGGAACAAAAACGGATCAGGGAGACAATTACCACAAAAACAAATAAAAAACAAAATTGGGAAACCAGGGGAAAAAACGGGGCAACAGTAATCATGAAATAAAAATTGAGAAAGTCTATCCACAAAAAAAGGATGGTGAAACAGTAACCAAGGAGAAAAGGGATGGTGAAACAGTAACCACATAGCAAAAAGGTTGGGGAAACAGTAACCAAGGAGAAAAAGGATGGTGAAACAGTAACCACATAGAAAAAAGGTTGGGGAAATAGTAACCAAGGAGAAAAAGGATGGTGAAACAGTAACCAAGGAGAAAAGGGATGGTGAAACAGTAAGCAAGGAGAAAAGGGAAGGTGAAACAGTAACCACATAGAAAAAAGGTTGGGGAAACAGTAACCAAGGAGAAAAAGGATGGTGAAACAGTAACCACATAGAAAAAAGGTTGGAGAAATAGTAACCAAGGAGAAAAAGGATGGTGAAACAGTAACCACATAGAAAAAAGGTTGGGGAAATAGTAACCAAGGAGAAAAAGGATGGTGAAACAGTAACCAAGGAGAAAAGGGATGGTGAAACAGTAACCACATAGAAAAAAGGTTGGGGAAATAGTAACCAAGGAGAAAAGGGATGGTGAAACAGTAACCAAGGAGAAAAGGGATGGTGAAACAGTAACCACATAGAAAAAAGGTTGGGGAAATAGTAACCAAGGAGAAAAAGGATGGTGAAACAGTAACCAAGGAGAAAAGGGATGGTGAAACAGTAACCACATAGGAAAAAGGTTGGGGAAACTAACCAAGGAGAAAAGGGATGGTGAAACAGTAACCACATAGAAAAAAGGTTGGGGAAACAGTAACCAATTAGAAAAAGGATGGTGAAACAGTAACCACATAGAAAAAAGGTTGGGGAAATAGTAACCAAGGAGAAAAAGGATGGTGAAACAGTAACCACATAGAAAAAAGGTTGGAGAAATAGTAACCAAGGAGAAAAAGGATGGTGAAACAGTAACCAAGGAGAAAAAGGATGGTGAAACAGTAACCACATAGAAAAAAGGTTGGGGAAATAGTAACCAAGGAGAAAAAGGATGGTGAAACAGTAACCACATAGAAAAAAGGTTGGGGAAATAGTAACCACATAGAAAAAAGGTTGGGGAAATAGTAACCAAGGAGAAAAGGGATGGTGAAACAGTAACCAAGGAGAAAAGGGATGGGGAAACAGTAACCAAGGAGAAAAGGGATGGGGAAACAGTAACCAAGGAGAAACAGTAACCACATAGAAAAAAGGTTGTGGAAACAGTAACCAAGGAGAAAGGGGATGGTGAAACAGTAACCAAGGAGAAAAGGGGAGTTGAAACAGCAGCCACGTAGAAAAATAATGATGAAAAACTAATCAAGGAGAAAAGGGATGGTGAAACAGTAACCAAGAGAAAAAGTAACCATAGAAAAAAATAGGGAAACAGCAACCAATGAAAAAAGGACGTGGAAATGATAATCATGTGAAAATGGTTGTGGAAACGGTTACCAAGGAAAATGGGATAGAGAAAAAGTAAACACGGAAAAGAAAGGGGAAACGGTAACCATGGAAAACAGATGGAGAAAACAGTAACCATGGAAAATAATGGGGAAACAGTAGCTAAGGAAAAAGATGATCAGATGGTGAAACAGACAACACGGGAAAATAATGGGGAAACAATAACCAAGGAAAAAAGCATTGAGAAATAGTAACCACGAAAAAAGGGTGGAGAAACAGAAACCAAGAGAAAAACTGGAGAAAAAGGAACAACGGGAAAAATAATGGGGGAACATTTGCCAACAAAAAAGGATGGGAAAATAGTTACCAAGGAAACAGGAAAGAGAAATAAACATGCAAAAAACGAGTGGGGGAAAAGTAACTAATGAAAAAAGAATTGGGAAACAGTAACCATGGAAAACGGGGTACAGTTACTGTACTCCCAAAAAAAAATGAGGAAACAGTTACTAAGGAAAAAAGGACGGGATTACAGTTACCAAGAAAAATTGATGAGGAATTGGTACCAAGGAAAAAAGGGATGAGATAACAGTTACCAAAGAAAAAGAATGGGGAAACAGTAGTTATAGAAACAAACATTGGATCGGGAAATAGTTACCATAGAAACAAAAGTACAACGCTTCAAAAGGACACCGATAAAATGACGTCTATTTTGAGAGAAGGAATAGAAGCACAAAATGAAAAATGAAAGACATGAGCAGAAACTAGAAAGAAGTAAACAAAAAATAGATATGAAAAAATAGAAAGAAAATAAAAAAAGTCGGAAAGGAAGGAAACAAAAACACCATTGAGGGAACTTTGATGAAAATACAATATGAGAAACGGGAACCATGGTAAAAATGAAAATTTCAGAAACTGGAATAGAATGTGAGAAACTTGATTAAAATTGGAACGGAGTGATAAAGCAGAACAAATATTGTCAAAACTGGCACCGAGGAAACGTAGTCATGTGGGGAAACGAAACAGAAATTAAGGGAAAATTGATATAGGCTAACAGATACCATGGGATACCAAAGTACAATAAACTGCATATGTGACAAAGGTAACAAAAAGGCCATACGAAACAAATATATTTAAAGCAGGAGTAAAGGAAACTGGCATTATATGAGGAACAGGATCGCAGAAAAACAGATATACAACTTGATAAACGGGAAGTGAAGAAAAGACTCGAGGAGAGTGCGAAGACAACCATCCAGGGAGCGACACTTCAAAGTCATTACAATGTACCGTTATACGAATTCGAGATTCGTTTGTTGTACGTCAAAGGATCAATCTGGTATTTTCGTATTGTCAACAAGGTGTTGCACATGGAACCTTCAATTTTACCATAACGCGTTCAAGGAGTGTAGAGAGCGAAAGTGATCCTTACCCCTGGAGTATCGAGGATGGTTTTTAACTCCCCGATCTGACGTGTTGATTGTCTGGAATCACTTGCCCGACTATGTGACTTTTGCATGTGTATAAGGGTACTTCGGTTTCCTACAATATTGATTGAAATTGATGTAGCTATTGTTTTAAAGGAGAAGTTTTCTGTTTTACGTACACTGTAACTTGTCACATATAACCTCTTTATGTAATCTATAAAACATTACCTAGTCAACACAACCAGTCCTACGGGTTTACCTTATAAACACATATCACGTGCTTTGTTGTTTTTTGGTATTTGCTACCATTGATTTGAGTGTAAAATGAGCCGATACATAAGAAACAAATGTGATTTGCCTGGAACTATCCCGATGCATTTCTCTGCTCTGTAAGGCGTAATTGTGACAAGAGGCGGAAGCTGATTTTGTTTTAACAAAATAACCATCCGACCATGAAGTATGTTCCCGTGAGCAGCCAGTGGCAGTCGCATATTAGATACTCTAGGTGTTTAAACAACAGGCGGGGGCGGGAGAAATCCCGGGGGATCGTTAATATTTTATAGTCTGTACTAAACCCACGTCATATGCAAGACGCGGATCTGATCGACATAAAGTGAAAATATCACTTGTGTAATATATTCCCTAAAAAATCAATCAATTACCTGCTACACTATTGCAGTTATTGTGGGCAAGAGTATCGCGGATGGTATGGCCCTCCCGGCCCATGAGTAACATGGAAGGCATGACTTCCCCCCCCCCAACCTCCAGGTTAATGAGTAACACGGATGGTATGCCCCCCCCACCCGGACCATGAGTAATAGGGATGGTATAACCCTCCTGGTCCATAAGTAACACGGGGATGGCATGACTCCCCCGGTCCATGAGTAACACGGGGATGGCATGACTCTCCCGGTGCATGAGTAACACGAGGATGGCATGACCTTCCCGGTCCATGAGTAACACGGATATGGCATGACCTTTCCGGTCCATGAGTAACACTGATTGTATGGCCTTCCCGGTCCATAACACGGATGGAATGACCCCCCCCGGTCCATGAGTAACACGGATGGCATGACCCCAAGGTCCATGAGTAACACAGATGGCATGACCCTCATCGACAATAGGTAACATGTTGTTTGACGTCTCAGACAATGGGTAACAAAGGTAGCGTGTACTTACCGGACCATGGGTAACAAATGTTGCGTGTACTTCCCGGACCATGGGTAATAAATGCAGCGTGCACTTTCCGGACCATCGGTAACAAAAGTAGCGTGCACTTTCCGGACCATGGGTAACAAAAGTAGCGTGTACTTACCGGACCATGGGTAACAAGGGTGGC